GGGAGACAGAGCATCAGCGTCAAATTACCGGCCGATCAGTTTGACGTCAGTAGTGGGGAAATTTCTTAAATCAATTATAGCAAATAGCATCCGATTGCATGTAGAGAAAAACAAATTAATCTACGACTCTCAACATTGGTTTACAAAGGGAAAATCTTGTCTAACAAATCTGCTGACGTTTTTTAGGAAAGTCTTCGAGGTAGTAGATAATGACGAAAATTACGATGTTATTTACTTAGACTTTAGCAAAGCATTTGACAGAGTACTGCATCAGAGGCTTCTGAGAAAAATTAAGGCTCATGGTATCGAGGGGAAAGTTTTAAATTGGATAAAATCTTGGCTCGCCTATAGAACACAGAGGGTCAGCGTAGATGGTGTTAAATCTGAGTGGGGCCGTGAAACCAGTGGGGTTCCCCAGGGGTCAGTACTAGGCCCACTCTTGTTCCTAATCTACATAAACGATCTAGATACTAGGATCAGCAGTGACATAAGCAAGTTTGCGGATGACACCAAAATAGGGCGGCAAATTAATTCGGGGCAGGATGCAAATGCATTACAGGAGGATCTAAATAAACTGCAGGGGTGGTCTGAAAAATGGCAAATGAAATTCAACACCAGCAAGTGCAGCGTACTTAATATTGGAAGAACAAATACTTATAATGTATACAGCCTTAGCAACATCAACCTAGAGAAGTCGACTTGTGAAAGAGATCTAGGGGTACTTGTAAGCCCGGACCTACGGCCTAGAAACAGTGCGTTAATGTTCGAAATAAGGCAAACAGAGTATTGGGTTTTATATCTAGAAGTGTAAGCAACAAGAGTGCAGAGGTCTTATTGCAACTATATCTTGCGCTAGTCAGGCCGCACCTCGATTATGCGGTTCAGTTCTGGTGCCCCTATTATAGAATGGATATAAATTCACTAGAGTCGGTGCAGCGAAGAATGACAAAAATGATTCCGGGACTTAGAAACCTTCCATATCAGGATAGGTTAAAGAAACTTAACTTGCATTCCCTAGAAAGACGAAGAGTGCGAGGAGATATGATAGAAGTATTTAAGTGAGTGAAAGGAATCAATAAAGGGGACATAGATAAAGTTCTTATAATATCCGAGCAGGATAGGACTCGGAGCAACGGATTCAAGTTGGATAAGTTTAGGTTTACGAGGGAGATAGGAAGAAACTGGTTCACAAATAGGGTGGTGGACGAGTGGAACAAGCTTAGCAACTTTGTAGTAAGTGCGGGAACTCTAGAAAGTTTCAAAAGGAGGCTAGATAGATTCATGGATGATAGAGAGTGGTAGTAACTCTCGACAGGAGCTGCCATGCACAGGCCAACCGGCCTATTGCAGACTCCTTATTTTCTTATGTTCTTATGTTCATACTAAAATAGGAAACTGGTTACGACCGTGTCGTATTTTTCTATTTTTTTTATATATAACATGCTTCCATGTTCCATATTATTCCTGTAATGATGTGTTAAATTTACTCTTATATATTCTAGTCACCTTACCCTGTGCTGTTTAGGTTTTAACTGTCAATATTTGTTCAAACCTATCTTATTTCGTTATTTAATATTGTAACAAGCATTCTTTGTTTCTCTAACGACCATCTGCATGGTTAAACGACCCATTTTCACCGGCGTGGCGGGAGCCGACCTTATACTGTATAAAGGACTCACCAGCAGAAGGAGTTTAGTCCAGTCCTCCATGTCATTCAGTTTACTTTTTTTTGAGTGACACTTATCACCTGTTACTTATACTTCATTTTATTACTGTGTTGTTACTGTCGCCACCCATGTGGTATATCTATGTGAGTACCTATTTATGTCTCTTATGTGTCCATCAGTGCTTGCTTAGTTACATTTAAGTAATTCAATGTTGTTTCACGTTAGTTAATTTCAGTGTTAGTCATTTTATATGTTTATACACTGTTAACTTAATCCAATGCTTTATTTTTATTCTTTTGATGTTTCGGTGTTTAGTATCATTTGTGTCTTAAAGGTTTCGATAGTGAATCAATCTGTTGTGACAGCCTATGAGGATCTTTATTGTGTTAAAATTTAATTTAATTAAATTCTTAAAGGTTTACTTTATTTTTTTTTCCCTTTTGATTTACTTCACTTTCTTTTTGTTTGGTTATGCCTAGAACCTGGATATTAAAGTATATTAAGAGACGGCGTAACAATATATATATATATATATATATATATATATATATATATATATATATATATATATATATATATATATATATATATATATATATTATATATATATATATATATATATATATATATATATATATATATATATATATATATATATATATATATATATATATATATATATATGTAACCGGTCGGAATTTACTGGACTTTAATTTCTCACTTGACTTGGGGTTTATTAAAGATTAATAGATGGTAATGGCAGTGGAAGCGCCCCTTTGAGAAAAATCCCGAACCAGCACAAGAACACTTAAATCTACTAAACAAAATGAATTGTCCGTGACCCGTGGAAGGATAGCGTCTGTGACTGGGATGAATGAGACACACTGTAAAATTTAGACACTTATATTCCCTCCAACACTACAAACACAATCAAATAATGGTACACCAATATGCTCACCTCTTAACTTGAACTTAAAACACTACTCTGGGGAATAAAAGTTATACATGATATAGAAATTATTAGAAACTCAGGCAACAATAAATTTGCAGTATTAAGAAATGTTGCTTGCACACATGAAACAGGCCTTAAGGGCTTTCAACAAAATAATATCAGTCACTGAGGAAATGGTAATAAAAAATAAGAATTTAAATACTCTACAATGAATAGGCCTTAAGGGCTTTCAACAAAATAATATCAGTCACTGAGGAAATGGTAATAAAAAATAAGAAATTAAATACTCTACAATGAATAGGCCTTAAGGGCTTTCAACAAAATAATTTCAGTCACTGAGGAAATGGTAATAAAAAATAAGAAATTAAATACTTTACAATGAATAGGCCTTAAGGGCTTTCAACAAAATAATATCAGTCACTGAGGAAATGGTAATAAAAATAAGAAATTAAATACTCTACAATGAATAGGCCTTAAGGACACTCAACAAAATTATATCACCCCAACAGATGCACACTTCCTAACCTAACTTAACCACTACTCTGGGGAACAAGGTTATACCTGAGATCAGAATTATGAAGAACAATTAGATGCATTAAAAGAATCAAATCACAGTATCACTCTGGTTCCACTTAATGGCACAAACATTCAAAAACAATACTATCAAAATTATTTAGGAACTATTAAACTACACACGTCAAGATAATATCAGTCTGAGGAATGGTGTTAACTACACCCGAAATAAAAGAGGGTAAATGTTCCTCTAGGTATCTCCTAGAGACCTAGACTCACGGTCTCAGTGTGTGACCATTAGTTTACTCAGATAGCCTCAGTGTACTCCCAGTGCGTCCATAAAGCGGAAGGGAGTGAGCCAATCAGACCTTGTACAGTTGAGAGAAACTTTAGCTTCCCGTTAGCAAGAGGGTTTCACTAAGCTGCTCGGGACATGTGGTGTTGTGCACCCGAGTGGTAAGAACTGATCACCCACTGCTGATGCTGGTCCCGTGTCATGTTAGTTGTCGGGAGCACTCGTTCACTCAAGAGATCCTTTGCTACCCCGCTAAACAGTGACAGGCCTACACTGATCGGTCCAATGGCGACAATCGCCACCCTCAATCATCAACGGCAGTCTCAAACGGCAGTCAATCTCTCGCAGTCAACTCCGGTCAACTCGGGTCAACTCCAGTCAAGTGGGTTCTGACGGAAACCCTGAAATGAACTCACTGTTAGCTCTAGTTTACTTTACCACTGCCGTATCTAACCCTGTCTGAGATCGAATGAGACTTACTTGTTATACTGCAATAGCGCAGCACAGGTGACTAGGCCACGTGACTATTTCTGTGACGGACGCAGGGACGTCTTGTTTTGTCTGAATGCTCCCCGCCACTGAGGGCCAGCCAGCGTCGCGTCCTCCCAAGGCGTTAGCTTATGCCTACGTGACATATTTTCCGCCTAACTAATAACTCCTTGGGACACCCGTAACATATTCAGACTGATAAACGATCTATAATAATTTCAAATTCAATAATAGTCCCTTATTTCATGAATCGCATCATTATTAATTCGGTAAATTACATTTAATATCATATAGGCCTAGTTCCGCAATCTCTCGCTATGAGCAGGCAGCGCTCTCTCCCCTCAGATGACCTTGAACGCTCAGTATCGCTAATGGCGAGGCATTTGAAATTACTCTGAAATTTCTGAATATTACATATATATATATGTATATATATATATATATATATATATATATATATATATATATATATATATATATATATATATATATATATATATATATATATATATATATATATATATATATATATATATATATATATATATATATATATATATATATATATATATATATATATATATATATATATATATATATATATATATATATATATATATATGTGTGTGTGTGTGTGTGTGTGTGTGAGTAAATCACTGTAGGTGCGCATTACTCCTTAGTCTGTTCTCGCCCTTGAAGATGTGAATTACCTGAAAGCGCATAGGAACTTCTTGTTTCCTTGTGGTTATCAGCATGTATATATACATATACATATAATATATATATATATATATATATATATATATATATATATATAAATATATATATATATATATATATATATATATATATATATATATATATATATATATATATATATATATATATATATATATATATATATATATATATATATACATATATTTCATGTAAATCCACAATGAAAACGTGGATAAGATAAATCTTGATAAAATCACACGGGAAAAGGGAAAGAATGGAGTACCTTAGCTTTCGTCTTTATTCAAGACATCTTCAGAGGCAAAATGCACTGAAGGAAATTGATCTGAGGCAAGACAAATTGCCAATGGAGCGAGCCCTGGGGGTTAGGTGGCTCCTGGAAGGTGATCAGCTCGCCATCAAGGTGCAACCAAACTCAAGGCCAGCGACCAGGAGAGGAGTACTAAGCCTGGTCAGTTCTATTTATGACCCACTGGGGTTCGTGGCCCCATTCATCATCAGGGCTAAAATATTATTTCAGTGTGAATGCAGGCGTCGATTAGGGTGGGACGAACCTTTGTCGGCTGTTAATCACACGACCTGGAGCACCTCGCTAGAAGAACTGGCCCACCTAGGGAAATTAATGGTACCCAGATACCTAAAAACAGCATGTACTAAAGAAATCATCTCACTACAGTTGCACACCTTCTGCGATGCATCGCAGGCTGCTTACGGTGCGGTGACCTATCTGAGAATGGTAGACTCTGGCGGAAGTATCCAGTGCTCTTTCGTGTACGGACGGGCCAAGCTGGCCCCACTCAAGCAACTGACAATACCAAGGCTGGAACTTTGTGCAGCTGTCCTGGCAGCATAGTCACGAGAACGTGACAAAATTAAATTTAAATACCACCAGCCTGAGGGCAGCTTAGTCACAAGGACGTGACAAAGTTAAATACCACTAGCCTGAGGGCAGCTTAGTCACGAGAATGTGACAAAGTTAAATACCACCGGCCTGAGGGCAGCTTAGTCACAAGAACGTGACAAAGTTAAATACCACCGGCCTGAGGGCAGCATAGTCACGAGAACGTGACAAACTTAAATACCACCAGCCTGAGGGCAGCTTAGTCACGAGAACGAGACAATGTTAAATACCACCAGCCTGAGGGCAGCATAGTCACAAGGACGTGACAAAGTTAAATACCACCAGCATGAGGGCAGTTTAGTCACAAGGACGTGACAAAGTTAAATACCACCTGCCTGATGGCAGCTTAGTCACGAGAACGTGACCAAATTAAAGTTAAATACCACCATCTTGAGGGCAGCTTAGTCACGAGAACGCGACAAAATTAAAGTGAAATACCACCAGCCTGAGGGCAGCTTAGTCACGAGAACGTGACAAAATTAAAGTTAATTACCACCAGCCTGAGGGCAGCTTAGTCACGAGAACGTGACAAAGTTAAATACCACCAGCCTGAGGGCAGCTTAGTCACAAGGACGTGACAAACTTAAATACCACCAGCCTGAGGGCAGCTTAATCACAAGGACGTGACAAAGTTAAATACCACCAGCCTGAGGGCAGTTAGTCACGAGAACGTGACAAAGTTAAATACCACCGGCCTGAGGGCAGTTTAGTCACGAGAACGTGACAAAATTAAAGTTAAATACCACCAACTTGAGGGCAGCTTAGTCACAAGGATGTGACAAAGTTAAATACCACCAGCCTGAGGGCAGTTAGTCACGAGAACGTGACAAAGTTAAATACCACCGGCCTGAGGGCAGTTTAGTCACGAGAACGTGACAAAGTTAAATACCACCAGCCTGAGGGCAGTTAGTCACGAGAACGTAACAAAGTTAAATACCACCGGCCTGAGGGCAGTTTAGTCACGAGAACGTGACAAAGTTAAATACCACCAGCCTGAGGGCAGTTTAGTCACGAGAACGTGACAAAGTTAAATACCACCGGCCTGAGGGCAGTTTAGTCACGAGAACGTGACAAAGTTAAATACCACCAGCCTGAGGGCAGTTAGTCACGAGAACGTAACAAAGTTAAATACCACCGGCCTGAGGGCAGTTTAGTCACGAGAACGTGACAAAGAACAGCCTGAGGGCAAAGTCACAGAACGTGACAAATACCACCGGCCTGAGGGCAGTTTAGTCACGAGAACGTGACAAAATTAAAGTTAAATACCACCAACTTGAGGGCAGCTTAGTCACAAGGATGTGACAAAGTTAAATACCACCAGCCTGAGGGCAGTTAGTCACGAGAACGTGACAAAGTTAAATACCACCGGCCTGAGGGCAGTTTAGTCACGAGAACGTGACAAAGTTAAATACCACCAGCCTGAGGGCAGTTAGTCACGAGAACGTAACAAAGTTAAATACCACCGGCCTGAGGGCAGTTTAGTCACGAGAACGTGACAAAGTTAAATACCACCAGCCTGAGGGCAGTTTAGTCACGAGAACGTGACAAAGTTAAATACCACCGGCCTGAGGGCAGTTTAGTCACGAGAACGTGACAAAGTTAAATACCACCGGCCTGAGGGCAGTTTAGTCACGAGAACGTGTCAAAATTAAAGTTAAATACCACCAACTTGAGGGCAGCTTAGTCACAAGGATGTGACAAAGTTAAATACCACCAGCCTGAGGGCAGTTAGTCACGAGAACGTGACAAAGTTAAATACCACCGGCCTGAGGGCAGTTTAGTCACGAGAACGTGACAAAGTTAAATACCACCAGCCTGAGGGCAGTTAGTCACGAGAACGTAACAAAGTTAAATACCACCGGCCTGAGGGCAGTTTAGTCACGAGAACGTGACAAAGTTAAATACCATCAGCCTGAGGGCAGCATAGTCGCATGAACGTGACAAACTTAAGTATCAAAGGCTTGATGTGGTTTTGAGCGTGAACGCTCAACGGAGTGGGTGTTACCGCAAGCGGTACATAATTATGATGACATATAAACAAATGTTATGTTAGGCTGTAACTCATGTCATGTTTATTGGGCGTGCGTGCCCGTATGCAATGTAGAGTGTTGAGATGGTTGAAGATGAGAGGCCCAGAAGGAGGTTGCAGGGTGTGAAGGGAGTTTGTTTATGTATAATTATAATCACCTGACTCTGCCATAGCTGACCAACCAAGGGGCCAGGCTATAGGGTGGGCATTTCAGTATAGCTACCCATATCTTAGAGTCAACACCTACCCTGGCTTCTCTCTAGACTCTCAACACGTAAGTTTAACTAGTACTTATTGTGTACACAGGTAGACTGTGTCATTGTTTTGTGTTAAGATTAGACTAATTACATAGCCATGATTCTTATGTAAATATATATTGGATTAAACATTTATGTAAGAGTGCCTATGTATGACTTATTTGAAATACTAAATGAATTATATTCAACAGGTTTGACCGAATTATAATGTTCGTGTACGACGTGAGAAGTATTATTCACCCTCTAACCGTCTGATTGGCGGTTACAATATATATATATATATATATATATATATATATATATATATATATATATATATATATATATATATATATATATATATAATAAAGAAGTATGTCTGTGTGTTTGTGGGTGTGTGTCCACACGAGAATCTCGAAAACTACTTTACCGATCTGCAGTGAAGATGGATGGTGTTATACTGTATGCAGTGATGATGGATGGTGTTATATGTAGTGATGATGGATGGTATTATATGTAGTGATGATGGATGGTATTATATGTAGTGATGATGGATGATGTTATATGAAGTGATGATGAATGTTGTTATAAGTAGTGATGATGGATGGTGTTATATGTAGTGATGATGGATGGTATTATATGTAGTGATGATGGATGATGTTATATGAAGTGATGATGAATGTTGTTATAAGTAGTGATGATGGATGGTGTTATATGTAGTGATGATGGATGGTATTATATGTAGTGATGCTGGATGATGTTATATGAAGTGATGATGAATGTTGTTATAAGTAGTGATGATGGATGGTGTTATATGTAGTGATGATGGATGGTGTTATATGTAGTGATGATGGATGGTATTATATGTAGTGATGATGGATGGTATTATACGTAGTGATGATGGATGATGTTATATGAAGTGATGATGAATGTTGTAATAAGTAGTGATGATGGATGGTATTATATGTAGTGATGATGGATGGTATTATATGTAGTGATGATGGATGATGTTATATGAAGTGATGATGGATGTTGTTATAAGTAGTGATGATGGATGGTGTTATATGTAGTGATGATGGATGGTATTATATGTAGTGATGATGGATGGTGTTATATGTAGTGATGATGGATGATGTTATATGTAGTGATGATGGATGTTGTTATATGTAGTGATGATCGATGGTGTTATGTGTAGTGATGATGGATGGTGTTATGTGTAGTGATGATGGATGGTGTTATATGTAGTGATGATGGATGGTATTATATGTAGTGATGATGGATGGTGTTATATGTAGTGATGATGGATGATGTTATATGTAGTGATGATGGATGTTGTTATATGTAGTGATGATGGGTGGTGTTATATGTAGTGATGTTGGATGGTGTTAAATGTAGTGATGATGGATGATGTTATATGTAGTGAAGATGGATGATGTTATATGTAGTGATGATGGATGGTGTTATATGTAGTGATGACGGATGATATTATATGTAGTGATGATGGGTGGTGTTAGTTGTAGTGAAAAACATGGTGGAACTTACATACACCGTTAATGAACTATTGATGGAAGAAGAAGTTTTTGGTACTGAACTGTGAGACAATGTGGAGCCTCCCGCAGGGTGGCGTCCTAACGCTGCTTAGCGGATGAGCCGCCCAGAGGGCGGCGATTCTGCTAGTATATATATATATATATATATATATATATATATATATATATATATATATATATATATATATATATATATATATATATATATATATATATATATATATATATATACTATATATATATATATATATATATATATATATATATTTATTTATTTATTTATTTATATATATCCAATATGGACACCATGGTGAAATTCATATTCAATCTTCATATACCTGTCATAAGTTGTAAGTAGTCAAAATGAGAATAAATTGGAAAATTAAATAATTTTCCGTGCTAAAGTCACCAAATATTTTGGCAATAAAATACTCTGATAAATCATTGGCTACATCCTCACTCCAATACATAATATCGTAAGTATGAAAATGTAATACTATGTCAATGACAGAGTTTGAAATCACATTTCCTTTGGGAAAAAACATAAAGTAGTATTTCTTTCAATTCAGAACAAAAGGAACAGTTAAATATCAAAATAATAACAAGAATATATTGTTTCTTATGTGAAGAACTCAGTAATAATTAACTTATAAATGCCAAATAATTTATCCCAATCAGTTCATGAAGGATGCGAGAACTTTTACAATTGTGGCCAGAACTCAGTCTGCTCATGAAGGCTGCGAGAATGTTCACAATTGTGGTCAGAATTAACACTACACAAGAAGGTACTCTAACCGTGCATTGTAACAACCACATGATTTACTACACCCTCCTCTGCAGCCACATGATATCATTTTTAAAACGTTCTCTAGAGCAACTGGCCTGTCAGTCTCCATTGTCAAATAATCAATTTACGAGATCACCCTTGAAATCATACAACTGCTCGTCAATAAGAAATGCATCACAAAAACGTTGAATATCCCTATAATCATCTGAAAATTATAAACTACTGAGTATATGAATAAGTTTTCGAGATTCTAATTTGCGATGTATGTAGACAGATATTCCTAACAAGATGGGAGATGGACTTGTTTGATTTTGACTTTATTATACCATTCAATAATTTACTTAGAGATT